AGCGTGAAGATATTTCAGATTTTGCATTGAACTGTATGTATTCACTCTTAAGAACAGGCCTGCTGTGTTGTTGTGATGCTCAGTTGTTTGTGGTGTTTCTTTAATTTGTCAGCTTTATTTTTTTTAACCTTAAGGTGAAAGCACAAAATCAGGCCAGTGTGGGGGGAAAACCTCCCAAAAATGGAAGTTTCTCACACACATTCACATGTAAAAGAGCCTGCCTGTGGTGTAATAGCCTGTTTGCTCCTACAGGGGGCGCATGGGCAACATTTAGTCATGGGCCACCTCTTGGCTAAACACAAACTTATGAATAAGATGCTTTTAACGCATGTTTTCTTTACAAGACAGGTAGAAAACACAGAAAACAGTGCACAGCCTACCTTAAAACTTTAATTATTTGAAATGATTTGATGTGACACATGTCAAAGCAAATTTGCAGTTACCGAAATTCCCACAGCGGCTGCCTGCTCGGTCATTCAGCCCTCTAAACTGCAGAGGACCTCTAGATGCTAGAAAACAAACATCGATATTACATGAGAACATTTTATCTTTCCCAACACATTGCTTCCCTTAATTCACACTAAATATCCCCTTTGGCAAGAAGATGCTACCCTCTTGTGGTCATGTAGAAAAAATCTATTTAATAAAGGTTGGTGCCAAATGAACAGAGGAGTGTCACAAAGCCTCCTCTCTCTGTCTCTCTTTCTCTCTTTCTTCTCGCTGAAAGTTGAATTGTGGACCTCTCTTCACATCATCACGCTCACCAGGTGCCTGGCTGTGCTCTCACCTTCACTAATGCTGCTGCTGCTTCACAGATTACACACAGAGCTATTCATCCCTGGATGTGTTGCCAGGAAACCTCATCACAGCAAGGCCGTCTGATCAAAGGTTTTTCAGACGCTGACCTCAGATAACCTCTCACTTTGGCAGGAGCTGCAGGGTTTGTCCGCCGTGACCTGTTTTCTCTTGATTCTGCCGCGGTAGCTGTGAAGTTATTCAAGGCAGCCACCTGCGTGTAAGACGGAAAAGACGAAGCTGAATTCACAGCATTCTGAAAGGAAGCAAAAGGTGGCTCTTTTTTCTATTATACACCTCACTCGTGTTTTACGCCTTTACATCTCATTTTGAGGTCACGGAAGCAAACATGATCGAGTGCAGTGAGTGAATAGCGTTCCCGTCGCTCCACGGATGCCATTAAAAAGCTTTTCAATTCAGCGCTAACTGCTCAGGGACCATTCATTGCATTTCTACTGTGCATCTGCCAGGAAATATATGAAGCTCTCCACACTCCAGAGACTTCACCTGAAGATAAATAACCAGTAGATGGTGCTATGCTGCCACACATAGAAAGTCTCTTTAAAACTCACCTCCAAGTCTGTTGCTGCAATGATGAGTTTTACTGCTGTAGTGAGCTGATTGACATTATATTTAAAAGACTAAAATAATTGTAGCAGAGTGCATTCTTTGTACAGCTGGCAAACAC